AATAGGAAATGTATGTGTACCATTATAAAACAGGATTTATTAGGGTGTCTTACATCATCAGAAGCTGGACAGTTACTCAATGACTATCTGCACACTAGAGAACCAGAAGAACCAGTAGCTGCTCAGTCTAAGAAGCTAGAGCCTCAGAATGAGAGGACCAATGGTGCAGCCACATCCAAGATTAGAGGCATGGAAACTCCCTCAGGAATAGCTTTACAATGGAAAAGTGAAGAAGCTGGGTCTGACATCCACACACAATGGCAGCAGCAATAGACACACCTGCTCAAGAATAACAGAGCTTGCATCTTCTACGGCTTCCTCTGTTCACTTTGCTGCTTCTGAGTTTCCTAGCTACAGGACAGTACTGCTCACATTCAGACCAAATCTACCCTTCAGTTTACTGTCCCACATGCCAATGTCTCTGGAAACACCCATTAATTTCTTAATCCTAGGTTTATCTCAATCCAATCAAGTTAATAATCCAGATTAACCATCAGAGATATATTACCAATACTCTCTTCCAGTCCTCGAGCATAAGCTATTTCTTTGTGTCTTCTTCAGTTTCTTTCACCAACATTTCATAGTTTTCATTATATTAGTCTTTCATTTTCTTAATTAGATTGATTTTTAATTTTTACTATTTTGATGCTACTATTAAATGTTTTCTTAATTTCATTTGGAGTTGTTATTGTTAGTGTATAAAAATATAACTGATGAATACTGCTATGGTATCCTTCAACTTTGCTGAATTTAGTTATTTTAACATTTTTTTGTGGAATATTTAGGATTTTCTACATACAAGACCATGTCATCTATGAACAGAAACTATTTCTTCTTTTCTAATTTAGAGAATTTTTCTTTCTTTTTCTGTCTAATTGCTCTGGTTATGACTTCCAATATTATATTGAATAGAAGTGTTGAGAGCAGGGATTCTTGCCTTTTCCCTGATATTAGAGGAAAAAATTTCAGTCTTTTCTCATTTAATATGTTAGCTGTAGGCCTTTTGTAGGTAACCCTTATTCTGTGGACAAAATGTCTTCTATTCTTAATCATTCAGTGAAAAGATATTGCATCCTGTCAATTGCTCTTTCTGCATCTGTTGAGATAATTTTATGTGTTTTTGTCCTTCATTTTCTTAATGTAGTATATTATACTGAGTGATTTTATATGTTAAACCATCCTTGCATCCTAGGAATAAAGATCACTTAGTTAGAATACACACTCATTTTAATGTGCTGTTGAATTTGGTTTGCTAGTACCATAATCTTTTTATTGTTTTAATCTTAGTTTAGACACTATCAAAGGAACACATTTATGGCTTTAGTTTTAAATGCAGCATAACATGAAAATGCTTTGAATATTGATTATCAGGTTACTGTCTCGAGGAATGAGAATTCAATTCTGTGCTTGAAATATTGACAAATATTAAGATAGCCATGTTTGGTTATACAGATTGTTTTGTTTGAGGAATTGGACATTACTCCTAAATAATATGCTTCAATCTGAATGTCAAACAACAAAAAAAAAGCTTATTGGGAAGGTACCATGAAACAGTTTGGCCAATAGCATTGGATTTTCACATTTATGACATATGAAATGTGTCTATAAACATACAATAAAGAGTATGATTAAGATGTTCCAGGAACTCCATTCTTCTCCAACAAATACAATAATTCAAACTTTAGGGTAATTAAAATATAGCCCTTTGTATATAATAATTTGCAAGTACATAGTGTGACAAAGAGTCTCTCCTTGATCAAATTCCAGCCAGGTTCTTCTGAGTCCTTTCTCAACTAGCCTCCAGGGACTTGAACAAAACACTAATGCAATTTCTAATAGCTCTGTACCACACCCCAGGATGATGGAGTTTGTTAGTAGGTGTTCTATTGCTGTGACAAAATTAGTTGAGAAAATCAACTTACAGAAGGAAATATTCATTTTGGCTCAGAGTTTTGAGGTTTCAGTCCATGGTCAGTTGGTTCCAAGGCAAAAACATCATGGCAGAAGGGCATGATGAAGGAAAAATCATCACCTCAAGCATCTGAAAAGGAGAGAAGGAGAGACCTTAGAAACAGAGGAGGAGGAAGGGATCAAGAACAAGATATAGCCATCCAGGGCATGCCCCCAGTGACCTACTTCCTGCAATGAGTCCTCACCTCCTATAGTTTCCATCCTTACCCGAATAATACAATCAGATTATTAATCCATCCATGGATTTATCCAAATGAGATCAGAGCCATCATGATCCAATCACTTCCCAAGAGTCCCACTTCTGAGCAAAGCTATATTGGAGACCAAGCCTTCAACACATTAGCCTCTGGGAGAATTCCAGAGCCAAACTATAACACCCAGGACCTGTTTAAACCACCGCCAAAGAAATCTCAAGTCTGTCAAAAGAGTTTATTATTTATTCCAGCCACCACCTGAGATTGTGTCCCTGTCTCCCAGCCTCTCTGGGAAGATGGGAGCCCAACTTCCTAACTCTTCATTTAACAGTGAACCTAGATGGACTGCATACGGACCAACCCCTTCCTTCTTATTTTGTAACTTTTCATTGCCCCAATGCTGAACCTACCAGTTCATTCCCCTATTCCTTTACTATCACCTCGGTACAACCTGAAGTTCAGTTCAGTTCATGCTGGAATCCTCCCTATTATAATAGCATACTACCGATTATAAACTGTCTTCACTTTAACTAGTGGCTTTATCTTTGACAAGACCATAAAGGTGGATTTCTTTTTCCCCTCAGAGGCAGAGGCTTCTTTAGAAAAGTAGGCACATATTCAAGGAAGAATGCAGGCCATCTCCAGAGGGAGGACAGGCCGGATTCTTTGTTCTGAGTAGAGGTTTTACCATATGGCAGGCACTGGGGACCATGAGAGACGCGCTTCTTTGGAGTTAAGTTCCAAAGGTCCCTACTTTTGGAAATTGACACCAGGTAAATGGAATTCCTACTCGGCTTCTCAATTCATTGGATTTGCAGGGACTGGCCCGAGATTGGAAATAGATTAACAGCTGTGTACAACGCTCAGGCATGATTTGTCAAATCCCTAGAAACCTTCTGCCAGACGAGACCCAAACTGGGAGCACAGGAAGAAGAGAATCTCGCAACAGAACTTAGGACACCAGGAAGCCAAAGGAGGAAACAAAACTGTACCCTCTACCTAAGAAAACCAGGAGCTGCTGCTCACAGCCAGAAAACCTCACCGCCCGCTGGGATCTGCGCCTGCGCACTGGAGGGCAACCCCGGCGACAGCGCATGCGCCCTAGCACCGCATCCCCCCCCCCCCCCGGCGCGCGCATCTGCGCCTGCGCAGCCGTGGTATCTACAACAGGCGTTGAAGGTTGCTAGGGAGAGGAGTGGAACACTTTGTGCTAGCTGTTCTGAGGTTTTCCAAGTGAGTCACCTGATAGGCGGTGTTCGGGCACAGGTGAATTCACAGCAGAGTCCTTGTCTCCGATCTTGTAATGTGTTCTTAGAGTTATCTCATGACACTCAGATGCTAGTATCCGGAAAGCCAAAAAATTAAATATCAAAGTTTGTTTGGAAACAGCTCCTGCCTGGGAGGAGGGAGAGTGTTTTTATCTGAAGACACCCACGAAGTGATGGACACTTCAATATGTCATCCCTTCTTTGACCTCCGTAGGGCGCAGAATTCTAAAGCTGAGTGATAGTTGGTTTGAAAAAAGGAAAAGGACACACGGAGACCCTTACATATGCACAGAATATTTTTGATTATGAACCCGCGACTGATGAGGGTATTCGTTCCTTCAAGGGGTGGGATGGGGGAATTGGATGGCTAGAGGATGGAATGGAAAAGAAAAAGGGTTTGTTTGTATTGTATGAAATTTGTCCAGTGTGCATGTACTACTTTTTAAATGTTTGAATGTTTACTTGACACCTTTATCAAAATGTAGACACCAAGGACATTCAGGAATTTAAGAGGACTGAGCAGAATTCTTTTAGTAATGCGGGATAGAATTATCTATACATGAGAAGCTAAAATGTCTTGTGTAAAGCACAGAGTCTTCCTGTTTATTTCTGGACAGAGATCTATGGGGGGTTGGTAGCAGGAGACAGGAAAAGAGGAGCCAGGCATTTTTTGAAAATTTTTGGCAATGCTCTCATACAGGAAACTGACATCTTTATCATTTCAGTCATTGTGTATTCATTTTGGATCTGCTGAAGAGCATTGAAAGACAAATGTTTGTGTGAACTCCCTGAACTCAAACATGGATCGGAAGGGGAATTTAATCTTTATTATTGTAAAGGTAATTAATTAGATGTGACTATTAGGGTTAAGGCCCAAAGTTCCTCTTCTAGTTAAGAAAACTTCCTTTGGTGAGAAATGTCCACATTGGTTAAGATGTAGTCCCATCCCCAACCAACCTTGCAAGATAATTTTGGGCTTCCCTTCTCTAAGGGAAGTGTCAAAAGAAAAAATTAAACAGGCAACTGTACCTAAGAGAATTTGCAGTCAAAATGTTCATGCAAATCTAGAAGACCTCTCATTGGCTAGTCAAGCTGAACTTTGTGTCCCAATGAGCAGTTACTGGGTCTAGGCAAGGGTACCAGAGGCTGGGGATCCAAAAAAGTTGAAAGTATGAAGTTCAAGGGTAGAGGTTATAATTTGTTACTTTTGGGTTTCCCTTGTTTATAAGTAGAAAGCCAGAAGTTGAGCTCCCAAATAAAATATTCTAGAAGTTATGTTTCTTAAGTAACTCCAAAAATTAGTACATCTATGAAGAAATAAATCCTACAAAGAAATAAGCCACCTGGCTAATATATCAACAGACAGAGTAGGGCCTGGAGATTCCCCTACAGAGGAGGAAAAAAACATCACAGAGAAGCATACTTGATACAATTTATTTTAAAAAAGAAGAAAAAATAATTTATGTCCTTGGCAAAATAAAAGATCTAGTAATACAAATGTTTCTTAGAAAACATGAAAAGATAATATAACAAATATTAATAAATCAATATTAACATCACAGCAAAAGTGATAATGATTCTGTAACAATGACAAGTGAGGATATTTTTGGCAGTATTATTTACAGCAGTATTTCTTGAAGATCCTCTGATTTCTCTTTTCTCTTAAAACAAGATGTGGTCTCATTTTAAGAAAGCCTGATGCATGTAAAACTAAATTTAGGAAACTGATCAATTAAAGGTTATTTATCTGCATCACAAAATAATTCTTTACCAAAATAATCCATGAAAATATTTCTTTAAATGATCCTTCAAATAGCAAATTTCCAAATGTGTTTAGAATAAAACCAGCCAGATACATGTTTCTCTGTGGCAAAAATGAGGTATACCTGAAATGAGGCAGTAACAGAGTTGGGCGTCAAACCTGTCTGGACAGTGTCCTTAGTTAGACCATAAGGAAATAGTTGGGGGCACCTGTTCTCACAGTCTTTTGTTTCTCCCACCTTGAACTCTTACTTTTATAGGCTTAACTGCTTTCTGGTAAACTTTGTTCACCTGGTATTCTCAGGGAAAAAAGGAGGAAGCCATATGAGAGGGGGACAAATTAAATAACTAGTGAGTCACTCCAGCCAAGCAGAGCGAGAGGAGAATCTGGGGTTCAGAGTGTGCATGTGGATGTGAACGGGGGAAAGTAGGAACAATCCTGAATCCCTGACATGGTGCTTTTGAGGCTCCTCTCCCTGTGGGGGTGTCTGACTCACTGAGGAGCAGCAGAGCCCAGTCCAACCCTCCTCAGAAGGGACACATCTTCAGGAGAATAGAGGAGGCTCTATTTGTCACACTCCTCCTGGCTCCCTTCAGTACAATGATAGTGCTGCTCACAGAACTCCTGGATCCGGCTACAAGCCTCCAGCATCATCACCTCGGGGACAGTAATTACCACCCGGAAGAAATTCGGGTACTCGAAGCACTGCAAAAATAAGAACCTGTTATTTTCAGAGCAATTGAATCTGGCACTGGACCACCCTAAAACAGCAGGTCTCTCACCAGCAAGAAGTGCTGGCGTTTCACCTAGGGTATCCATCCACCCCTCCTGAACACTAGGGTGCTTAGGGTGCTGAGTCAGTAACTGAGTTAATTCCTCTTGAAATGGACTGTGGGTCAAGCTTGAATGTGTCTCGCCTAGCATGTTTGTTATAAACATGGATTATCTCACCCACTATGGATGAGATAATGATGGGGAGAAACAAACTTTAAATTGAAGTCATGAGACATATAAGTGTGAATCATGACAAATGAGAATATACTTTGTTGGAGGGGAAAAGGTCAGGCTAGCACCTAGCTCAGGGAGAGCTGGTGGGGGGGGGGCTCTAGAAACTGTTGAGAGTGTGCTGAGAAATGCACAAGCACTCACCGTTGCTGGGAGGCAGTGGACAGACTGTTCAGCAACTAACCGCTCTGTGAACTCCACATCGTTTTCAAATTCTGGGAAGTGTTCCATCTCAATTCCAACCTGTACCAATAATAAAAGGGAGAGGCTATCTTATCAGAAGGAGGGAAAACAGGCCAATTTGCTATGCCAGAAATTAGGGTAGGAACTGCTTTAAAAGATATCTTGGAACTCTACTACTGATAACTAAGCGTTCTGGCACTTATAAGTGTGTGGAATTTATCACAGGGAAGAGCGGATATATTTATATTCATATTTTAGTTTGTTACAGAGTTCCTTCTTGGGTGTTGATAAATGAAAGGAAACAGAATGCCAGTGTTTCTCAACAGAGGTACAATTAGCATTAGCGTCAGGTCCTTCTTTATTGCATGGGACTGTTTCACCCATTGTAAGATCTTTGGAATTCCTGGCCCACAAAATGGCAATAGCACCCTTAAGTCATCCTGAAAACAAACAAAATTCCCATACAGTTTCAAATATCCCTAAAGGACCAGAATCATTCCCAGTTATGAGCTATAAAGTAGCTTGTTTGCATCTTACAACTTCCCTGTATCTACATATAAAATGAATATCAGTACCACATTTTGAGAACTTTGAGATTAAATCTTATCAGTGGGACAATTCAGAACAAGGCAATTCCTCAACTGTCTTGTTCAGGAGCCTAGCCTTTGTGAATGCAGCATGCCCTGCACAACCCCATAAGCAGCACTGCCTACCACCTTCCCATGATTTACAACATGCATGGACCTACTGCCTTTCCCTGCCCACACACCTACTTACCATGAGATACATGGCCCCAGAAGGGCGGACTGGCTGAAGCCCAGGGATGGCAGCCAATGCCCCATAGCAAAGATCAGCATTGGACTAAAAGAGGAGGTAGAGAGAACATCAAGGATCAAATTTTAAGTAAAAGAAAAACCACATCATTAAAAGAATCCTCAGTGAAAGCTGGAAACTTGGGTTTGATCTTCTGGCATAAGGAGTCAATAAGAAAAACTCTGTCACTTAGAGTTCCTGGCCAAGAGCAGAGTGAGTTACCAGAAGTGAGAGTATGGGTGAATTCTTACATGATGCCATTTCCTGATATTGAAGTTCCATATTAGAATGGTGCTCCAGAAATGGGATCAATCATTCCTAATTCCACTGCTGGTATTCTCTGACTCCCAAACTCCCCAAGCAGAAGTCCATAGGCTGCCCTTACCTTGAGGAAGCTTAGTGTGTTGTGGTAGAACTCTTGAGGGGTACGGCGCAGGATGCTTTTCAGAGCTCCCTGGACAATGGTACAGGGTCCCAAGATCCGCTGACTCAGCTTCACCAGCCCATCTCGAATCTAGAAGTCCCCCCAAGAAATGCATTACTCATCTTACTTACGCATCCCTGTTTGGGGGATTCTTATTCGGACCTATCAGGTTTTTAATGCTAGGAAGTAATGTGGCCTAATGACATCTTAGATCAGGTCACTAGGTCTATAGCATAGCTCTGTCATACACCTGCTGGATGACTGTAGGCAAATAATGTAACTTCTCTGCACCTTTCTCAACTGTAAAATGGAGTGAATACTAATACTAGCCTCATAAGGTTGTTGTGAGAATTAAATTAAAACTGTTCATAAAGCACAGGTACATGGTTCACCCTCCAGCACTATTAGTTGTCATTACTGTCATTATTTCCCTTTCCGCAGTCCTAAAACTGGAGGTGGATAGAACTTCTTCACAGAGCCAGATAGTAAAAACTGAACTTGGGAGAGCTATAACTATTCCCATCTTTATCTAGTGTTTCCAGACACCATGAACTATATGGCCAAGAAGAAAGGGGAGGGGTCCTACCTTCTCACTACTATGCATACAAAACAAATATATATATCCTAAATCACAAATCCTATCGCACCACATTGCCCTCACCTCATTGCCAAAAATGTCTCTTCTGTCATGGATAAGGATCCAGCCCAACCTCCAGCCAGGAACTAGCCAGCGCTTAGCCAGCCCTCCACAGGACAGGATGGGGACATTGGTGCTGAGGGTGGCCAATGGCTCATATTTGCAATCTGAAAATACCTAAGGAGAAGAGATCTTCTTGTTTACTTCTCTCTGTATCCCATACCTCCACCCTTTTCCTTCTATCTAGAGGAACAGAGATTCAGATTTATAGGTTCATTTCTACCCTGAAGCATGATCAGATTTCCAAGAGGCTTCAAAGGGAATTATTTAAAACATTTAATTCCAGGTCTAGTCTGGATGAAAGGAAGCCTAAAGTGGGGAAACGGACTCTATCCCAGTAGTGCATACAACTTCATGAAGCCAGCCTTATGGAATTAGTGACTATTAGAGTTCTAGATTTAAAAATAAAGCATGGGTCCATAATCCCTTATCTAAAATTCCTGGGCCCAGGTGTGTTGCAGAATGCAGAACTGTCTGGATTTTGAAAAGACTATACAACACGTGTACCACACATTATGAAACATGCCCACAGCAGTCTAGGAAAATTAAGAATATTAATATTTCTGCCACTTTCCCTGCACTCTTAACAAATATATATCCACACATGGGATAAATAAAAAATCTACAGATATATCAGGTCAGCTCAGAATTTGCAACCAAATAAATTTCAAGTATCTTTGGATTTTCAAGGCTTATGGATATATAAAAAAAAAAAACTGACCAAGGAGTCATGGATCTATACATTTGTTAAGTTTCCAAGGATGCTGAATTGCTACAGGGAAAGGACTAGGAGTTGCTTCTGATTGTTTCACTTGCCAATTTAAGAGATCCCATGAAACAATTTGGGATAGACATTATTGTAGCTTTATATCCTGACCCAGACTCACCATGTCTCCATAGATCTCATCAGCTAGGATGGGGACACACTGCCTTGCAGCCACTGAAAATAAGAAAATCATGCTGAAATCATTTTTAATGCAAATTTCCCTCTCATTTAATATTCACCTACTCTTATTATTGCTAATTTCATGTCTCTTTGTGCAGTCTTCCTCTTCAAGAACTGTAAATCTTTCTGATACTCTTCCAGGCTGTGGGGCCTAAATTTGCCATTTAATTAACTAGATATTTCAAACTCTCGCTTCCACATGATGGGATTGGTGATGAAGTGAGTACAGGTAAAGTACCTGTCCAAGATTTTTCAGGACGAGAAGTGTTTCAGATTTTGTATTTTTAAAATTTTGAATATTTACATAGATTTTTCCAGTTCAACTTTCCTAATCTGAAATCTGACTAATCCAAAGTGCTCCAGGGATTTTGGGATGAGTGATGCTCAACCCATAAGTATTTCCTTTTTATCCTCCTTTAGGCAGGTCCTACCATTCCAATGCCACACAATGGACTAGAGACATCAATGGAGTTCCTCTACCTTCATCACAGGCTTGGAATATAGGAAAGAATAGTAATATTCTTTTTCATTATTCCAGGAAACTGCTAAATGACCCCATTCCTACCTCCTCCTCTGGACTCACCTGCCAGAATCTTCTGAAGATGACTCTTGCTGAACACTGACCCACAGGGATTTGACGGGTTGTTAACAATGACACAAGCTGTCTTTTCATCAATCAGAGATTCCAGTTGTTTCAGGTCAATTTCCCAAGACTTCTCTGGCTGGGGAGAAAGAAAGAGGGAGACCAAGATGGTTGCAGGGGGAGTACTCAACCCAAGGGTGCAGTGTAAATAACAAAATTTGTCTTTGGCCTCAACCACCCACTGCCAGAGCCTTTTCTTTTCTTCTTTTTTAAGTGCTTTATTGTTATACATAATAGTCGGGTTCATTCTGACAAACTCATACGTGCATGGAAATTGATTTTATTCATGGTCCCTTCTTTTCTCCTCCCCCTTTTCTCTCCTCTTCTCCCTGCCCTCTCCCATTCCATATGGTGGTTCTATCCCTAGTTTTTTGAGGAGTCTCCTTACTGTTTTCCAGAATGGCCGTGCTAGTCTGCAGTCCCACCAACCATTTAGAAGTGTCCCTTTTCCCCCCACAGCCTCACCGGCATTTATGTTGTTCACATTCTTGACCATTGCCATTCTGGCAGACTCTTTTCTTTGAGGTAAAAGTCATAATTTTACAGGGTAGTAATTGAGCACTTGAATCTAAAATTAAAAAGTCACTTACCAAGAGATTATATAGTTTGACCTCAATTCCCATAGATTCAGCCAAAGTCTTGTAGAGAGAAAAACCGGGTCTTGGAATGAGGATGTTTTGTCCTGGATTGGCCAACACAGCTAAACAAAGTTCAATAGCCTGACTGCAGCCACTTGTCAGAATGACATCCTGTGAAGATAAAAAAAAAAAAAAAAAGGTTTAGTTCTGTTAGGGGTTCCAACAATCACAGAAGAAAAGACCTTGTGAGATGGATATGGGTGAGTTAGGAGCAGTAATGAATCAAAAAGTTTTATGTAAAATAGTAAGAACTATATTAAGCCAAAACCAAAAATGTGTCCATACCTAAATGTTGTTGAAAATGTTGGCCACTTGAAAGAAATAAACAAATCATTCTTATAAGGATAAGTTGTGGGGGGAGGATAAGTTGGCTATGACTCAGCCAACTTCCATGAGAGACCTTGGGCTGACCTGGGCATTTTTAGCCTGGCTATTTACTTAATTTTGGTCAGAGACTTAAAATCTGGCTCTTCTCTGAAGCACAGATGAAGGACACCTCTTATGTTAGGAAATGTCTACCCCACACCGCAGACAATAGAGGGAAGGGCGGCATCTAAACTTGGCACTGCCATCAATTTGTATGCCTTTGGAATATCTCTCTCTCTTTCTGAATGCCCTAGGTGAATGAAGAAAGCTACAAATTAAAATGATCTTATTGGCAAATTTTTAAATTTAATTATTTGGTGTTTGTGAGTTGTGTTTCAAATGGTCTTTTGCATAACATCAAATCTAGGGTGACCTCTGGGTCCTTTGAGACTCCTTGTGACAGACACCCCAGATATTATAAGAGACATCCATATCATACTATGATGACATTAAATATAAGCACTGATTAGTGGTCCCAATTAATAAAAAGTCCTCAAATTGCTAAAGGGAAATTATCCTCAGTATCCCCACCTAGACAATTACTCCTATAAAACATAAACAAGGAAAGGGGGTACAGTTTGTCCTAAATTGCTTCCAAGCTGGTACTTTGACTAACGCTCACCTTAGCTTCCAATGGTGCCTCAGGACAGTGGAAATAAGAAGCAACCTCCTCCAGGCTAGACAGGTATCCTGAAAGAAGAGCAGGGAGAGGAAGCTGGCGATTTCTCCTCCAACTGACAACTGTGCCCTAGAGTGTCAACGTGGGCTTCAAGCTGCCTCCTGTCCCTGCTCAAAGCAATCTGTTCAGCTTAGCTCTCAGCCACTGTAGATCAAGGTGATTAACTGATATTTTATATCTTACAATTTTATTATATTCATTGTCAATAAAAGAAACAGATCCCCAAACTATAAAATATTTTATGTAATCTTGATTACTGTGATTATGTTTTGGTCTCTAAAAGATAAAAGATTTAAATTATTCCTAAGTCCCTTATAGGAACTACAGTTTTTGAAAAGTTGTCATCAATGCATTGAGTAAGTGTGGTCCATTTTATATTTTTTTATATTATATGTTTATAAGTTTTTGTACAAATTCTTTCTTTGAAACTATATTCTTGTACAATATTTCCACCTTTGGCTTATAAGCCTGAAGTTTTGACAGTTTCATGCCCATTATAATATTTTGTAAAGCTTCTATCCAAAAAGACAAGCTATCAAGGCCAGGGGCAACATTTCATGTTTCTTCATTTAATAGAAACAATGGACCCCTTGAAATTATATAAATCAGCTCTCCATTATGAGTGAAGAGAAGCAAATTCCTAGTTATACATTATTGTCTGTATTTCCTTTGGCATGAGATGTTCAGATCCTCCAACTGTTTGTCAAAGGAGATTTGGTTTTGGTTTTCTGGGTTGGATCAGTTCCCTAATACTTTGGATATTAAAGTCAGAAACTTAATTACATAACTTTTGTGTTGATATTTGCTGTATTAAATTGTCTAATGTGGGACTGGGGTTTTGGCTCAGCGGTAGAGCCCTTGTCTAGCATCTGCGAGGCCCTGGGTTCAATCCTCAGCACCACATGAAAATAAATAAATAAAATAAAAGGTATTGTGTCCAACTACAACTAAAAAATAATTTTAAAAAAAATATCTAATGTGTAAGTAACCCAACTAAAAACACAGTCCTGACCCCTCTTTGAAGCACTTTGTTTTGTTTTTGTGATACTAAATACTTAATTCACACGTGTTAGGCAAGTGTTCTAAAAGTGAGCTGCTACATCCCCAGCCCCTTTTTTAAAAATTTTATTTTGAGACAGTGTGTTGGTAAGTTGCAAAGGCTGACCTCAAACTTGAGATCCTCCTGCCTCAGCCTCCCAAGTATCTGGGATTAAAAGGTGTGCTCTACTATACCCAGTGTGAAGCAATTTTAAAATCTGATCTTAACATTTAACTGGATTTTTATTCTATACTAAGAATATGTTCCTATGTACACATAAACACAGGGAAGAAAATGTGCAACACTGACAGTAATCACTTATTTTACCAAAATATTTGGGGCAGAAATTTTTGACAAATGGAGAATGTTAAACCTAAATAGAAAAACTTGCTAACAGAGAAACCTTCTATCCTTCAGTATGGCTGCCTGTTCTGCCCTGTGTGTGTGTGTTTGTGTGTGTGTGTGTGTGTGGTTTTGACCTTTCTACCTTAAATAGTTATAATTGCATTTCAATGTGATCAGAACCACAATGAAAATAAGCCTTTAATACAGAGAGAAGGAGAAATAAAATGAAGGAACTATTTACATAGGGCGGTAAGTAAATTAATGTAGGACCTAGAGGACTCAGCAAACAAGCAGTTCCAGCCAGCCTCAAGGCCTTTCTATTAGAATTAGTAATGATGGGTTGAGAGCATTATTTGAGAAGTAAGTCTGTTTGAGAATCTAGAGGGGAGGGGCCAGCATGCCAAAGGGAGCCCGGAAAGAAGTTAGACCTTCAACACATTGAAGCATCTGGAGCAAGACTCTTTTCCCCCAAACCAAAGGGCTATTTAATCTAGAGTTGGTAGGAACGATCTGCTATTAAAAGAGCTAAACATTTGAAAGCCACCAGGTATATTCTCAACAGGAGCCTACCTATGGATGGGGCATAACCGTTGTATTTCCCAGAGTCCAGGGCATCTTTCATTGCTTGTGTAACTTCAGGATCGGTAGGTAGGTTTCCAAACACAGTTGGGTCTCCTATTCATAGGAAGGGAAAAAAGCCAAAAAGAGCCCAGAATTACTTTTCCATGTTCAGTACTCAGATTCATTTCTACCACCATCTTCTCCAACCAGCCCGTGAGGATTGGAGAGACAATACTACCCCTCCATCAAGTGTCCCCAACTCACCAATGGACAGAGAAATCATGGCTTTGTTTGGATTAGGTTTCACCTTCATGCTGTCCACAATGGCCCGGATGGGATTAAAAGTTTTGTCAGACATGTCAGAGGGCTTCACAGACCACCTGGCCTTCCTGCCTTTCATTTTTCCCAGTCCAGAGCCTTTCCCATTGATATTGACGTGCACATCCAGAACCGGGGAGAGGTTGCCATCGCCGTTGGTGTGAATCATGTAGGGGTCCATCACTAGAGAAGCCTATGAGGAAAGAAGGTCCTGTGAGGCAGAGCAGGGGTGGGCAGCCACGTTTGGATCTAAACATCAGGGTGACATCACTGGATGTCTCTTTTCCAAACATTTTTGCTGCCTTCTCTTATAAAGGAGCTTTATTATAAATAATGAAAGTTTTAAAGCTTTTTGCTGAGATGGAAAACAAAACAACCTATTCTACAACATCAACAGGTCCCATTTTGGTTGAATATTTATCTACTGTTCAGTAGGATTTGCTGGGTACAAACGTAATCGATGCAAAGGCAGAAGGATTCTCTAAGGAAAACCAAGGGAAAATGATACAAAGAAAAAGTCCTGCCCCATTTCTATGAAAAACCAATCTGAGAAAGAATCTCCTTTAAGTCTTCAACACTCTGTGTCTGGCCCTGGGTGGAAAAAGAAGTTAGCACATGGGAGAGAAAAGTGTGAGCGCCCCACTCACCACCACCATATCACTGAGGTTTGAGGTTTACCTTCCTCTTGGGGGAGATGCAACCTCCAAGCAGCCAAAGCTGAAAGCTCACCAGTCCTCTGACAAGTTACCCGTGGCAATGAACTCAGGTACAAATTCCGACTCCTAAAATAGTCTCCACTAATGGGCGTTGGACCTGAAACTTTTATGCTATTGGTTAGGGGTAAGAGCTAAGTTCTCGTCTGGGCCTCTCTTCTCCCCTTGACTGTTTCTCACCTGCTGCCACCCTCCAATCATGAATGTGTCCTCACTTCAAACATCTGGAATTCTCTGTTAATCCTTTCCAGGCACTGGGTTGGGTGTTTCAGAAAACAACCAGAGGGCAGTTATGATGTCAGTAGGTAATTTTTATTAAATCTCTTTTGGTTACAAAACATTCTATTGAATTTTAACAGTACAGAAATACATAAAGTGAAAAGGTGAAAGTACTTTCTTGCCCCCCTCTGTGTGCACACACTCCATTCTCCTTCCTGGGGGTAGGGAGTATAGGCATTTGATTCCTTCTGTCATTCACCAAAAAAAGATGATAGCTAGATTAAGATAGACCCAGATGCATACTTTCACAGGGTTTCAAAACAGAGGGAATCACATTCTACGACTTGCTTGACAAGGTCTTTTTAAAAATTTCCTACATCTTGTTCCCCTTTCCTTATCAGTCCCCAAAGTTTCAAACTCCAATTAGAAGAAAGGTGGACAGTTGAAATAAATGGTCACTCAACAAATAGCTTAAAAGCTCAGGGTCTCCAAGGCAGCTAAAACTTGTACAATTGTATCCTTCTGTGTAGGTAAAGCCTCCTTCATTTATCAGCTGTAGTATGATTGGAAGAATATGATACAGATGACATCTACAAAACAAAAGCAAAGTCACAGTCCTCAGAAGGAACCACAATATTCCTGTGAGTTAATGAAAATATCAGTGACTCCCAGGGCTCAGATCCTGTTTATTTGTTTGGATACAGAGTTATTACATAATTTTTTCTTCTCCATCTACTTTTCAGAGATCTGAGTCAGGAGGTTGGGGGGGCGGTGCGAGTTGAATAACCTTGTGTTTTTCTGGACCTTGTATCCCTTATTACTTTCCAGAATGTGTATAATGCTTTCTCTTCTCTGTTATAATGAAGCAAGCAGTTACCACCTCATTTTAGCAGTGGAGATGCAGAAGCATCAGTGAGGATGGGAAGTCAACACTTTCATTTCAAAGGAATGGGAGTTCTAGTATTAGAAGCCCTGAGCTCACCAACCAGGGCTCCTCTGTCTCAAAAGGCAAATGCATAGCCCTGTCTTAGGAATATCCAAAGACACAGAGAAGGAAAGGACTGGTCGGCTCTGGCATTTACCACCCTATGCCCAAAGTGTCCTTGTAGACAGAAGTATACCTCACAGTCTAGACAGGATTGCACTTGGCAGAATCACTGACAGAGTGAGAACATGGTATTATTTCCAAAGCACATAGTTGTTTGTACAAGGGATTGAACCCAGAGATGCTCAACCACTAAGCCTCTTCCTCAGCCCTTTTAGTTTTTTATTTTGAGACAGGATCTTCCTAAGTTGCTTAGGGCCTCACTAAGCTGCTAAGACTGGCTTTAAAGTTGCAATCCTCCTGCTTCAGCCTCCCAAGCCACTGGGATTACAGGTGTGCACCACCACAACCAGAAGCAAACAGATTTTGCCAAGAGAGTAAACCATTATTTTCTACAATCTTTTACGCCCCTGTCCATTTTAAATATAAATATGTTGGAGGAAAATTAGAAAAAAAATTATAAGAATTTACAATCCCACCACCACTCTTAACATATTGGTACTTGTATGGTTTTATTTCCCCCCACAAAGCTGGGGTCTTGACTATATAGATATTCTTTAAACTGAAATAAAATTCATGTAACAGAAAATTCACTGTTTTCATCTTTTCTTTCTTTTTTTTTTTTTCCTTTTGGTATCCAAGATTGAACTCAGCACCTAACCACTGAGCACATCCCCACCCATTTTCATATTTTATTTAGAGACAGGATCTCACCAAGTTGCTGAGGCTGACTTTTAACTTGTGATTCTCCTGACTCACCCAACCGAGATACTGGGGGATTACGGGCATGTGCCACCACACCCAACTATTTTCATTATTTTAAAGTATAAGATTCAGTGATTTTTAGCACACTTAAAACTTTGTGCAATCATCACCACTTATCTATTTCCAGAACATTCAAATCACCACAAAAAGAAGCCCATACCCATGGAGCAGTGGCTCCCCACCCTGACTCTCCCCAGCTCCTGAAAACCAACATCCACCTTCTGTCTCTACAGATTTCCCTATTTCTGACATTTCAAATAAATGAAATCATACAATATGTGGTCTTTTATGTCTGGTTTCTTTCACTTAGCAAATGTTTTCCATGCTCAACCATATTACATGTAGCATAGAGTTCTTCATTTCTTTTTATGAATGAATAATATTCTATGAAATGGATATATTACATTTTGTTTACGCATTCACCAGTTGATGGACATTTGAATTGTTTCCATTTTGCCTATTTTGAATAATGCTTCTATTAACATTTGAGTATGAGTTTTTGTGTGAATACCTGTCTTCAATTCTCTTAGGTATATAGCTTGAAGTTACTGGATCATTATATGCTTAGTGTTTTCATCTTGAATTTTTAAATTTTATCATAAATATTTTCCCATGTTATAAGAAACATTATACCATGGATAAGTATCAGAATTTGTTGAGTAATTTTCTTATTGTTAAACATAACATGGAGTTTAGTTTTTATCATTATAAATAATACTGCCAAGGGCATCCTTGTTCATAAATGTTGGTTCATATATTTTATTATTTCTTTAAAATAAATTTCTATATTGAATTACGACACTGAAGAGAATAAACACTTTTCTCTTACCTTTTTAGTAAAGTATGATATATTCTTATATAATAAATTTTAAAAATATTTTGTTTTAGTTGTAGTAGAACACAATACCTTTATTTTATTTTTATGTGGTGCTGAGGATCAAATCCAGCGCCCCACACATGCTAGGCAAGCACTCTACCACTGAGCCACAATCTGAGCTCCTCTTATATGATAAATTTAAATAGGAATGTTCTAAACCCTGATTATCTTCCCTTCCCACAATTCCACTCTGTCGAGGTAACTACTTTTAGTCACTTCTTATGTATCCTTCTCCAACTGTTTTCTATGTTTATACAACACTTTTGAAGATGTTTGAGGATTGCTAAAAATATATGTATACTATATATTTGTTTATACTTGCACTATCTAGTATTGTAGCCTGTAGTCATAATTGGCTTCTGAGTTCTTGAAATGCGTCTGGTCTGAATTGAGATGTATGGCTAATGCAAAATATGCATCAAGTTTTAAAAACTTAGTATAAAAAGGCAATGCAAAATATCTTAATTTTATATTGATTACACATTTAAAGAATATATATATATTAGGTTAAATAAACTCTAAAAATTAATGTCATCTGTTTTTTTAGATTTACTTTTTCTTTTTAAATTATTCCTTTTAGAAAATTTGAAATTATTATGTGATTTACATCCTATTTCTATTGGACAAGGCTATTCTAAGCATATTTTCTAAAGCCTTTTAGACATTTTCACATTGTCAAACATAGAAATCAGTTATTCCTTTTTGAGGCTACACAGTGTTACTTTGTCTATTCTACTCTCATTGGGCATGGAGCAGCTTCCATATTTTTCCTATTATAAATAAAGCAGATAGAGCATCCTTGTACATTTACAATTGCTCAATTTTATGAGTTGACTGTGACTTGTGGGATATTTTCCTAAAAATGGAATCACATTCCAAATTATTGATAGATCTCCCAAATATTGATAGATCTCCCAAATCTGTCAATGATAGACTATAGAAGAGAAGATAATGCCGATATGCCTATTTTGACAGCCTCTTGGAGCTCATGCCATTTATCAGGACAACATATCCTGCTTGAGGAATAGCACAGGGAATCAGCTAAGTGCTTCTATAGGGGTCCTCCACATAAACAGTATCTCACAAGTATTCAATTTTTTTAAAAAAAACTATTCAAAGATACGTGTTAAAGCATGGTAAGACAGACTTGATTCAGCACCGTGGCAATGGTACAGGAACCACTGCAATGGGATTTTGCAGTGGGAAGAGATTAGGCTCAACTCCAAATACAACACAGGCAAGTGGGAATTTGTAGCCAAGGAGCAAGGTAGGTATGAGTGCATGGAAATTTACTAAGAGAAAACATTAGGAGTAAGAAGGATTCTGGTTAAACGACCTAATAGGATTGTTATTAAAGATAGGCCAGTGTGATCACATAAGATGAAGAGCATAAGAAACCTCATCAGATATCCAAGGAGATCACGTATCAAGGGGTTCTTCATAAAATAATCTTGCAGAGTTCTTGGCTAAAACTGGATTTTGCTAGGAGGTGCACAGATGGGTCTAGAGAAGGTCCAGGAACCTGACTAAAGTTTGGTCAATCAAAGAATCTTTATCAGAGGTTTAGGTTGTTCTTCTATTGAACTTTAAAAACATTAGACTAAGCAAGAATGGGATTTTCTCAAAGTTAGGCTACAGTCATTGATTGCTATCACTGAAGTTTTAGAATTCAAGAATCCCAGTTACMCATGAGACTCAGATCCAACTCCCTCTCCCATGACACATGCAACCTGTTGGCTTGGTGACCAGTTACCACTAAAACATTAAAACAGGAGCCTGAGATTATTTAATTATTAATTCCTCCTGAAGCAACATCAGTGTTAGCCCACCTTTGTCTCTAGTTTTCAGTCCTTTCTGATTGCCTTTTTATCTTAGTTCAGGAAAGCATTTTGTTACATTTTGTGCAATATTTCTAGATATTTTGGTAGCTAAAGATTTTCCAGGTTATTCTATCCTCAAGATTGCCAAAAATGGTAGTATCCTTACTAATTTTTTAAAATTTATTTTTATAATACTTATTTTTTATTTATTTCTTATATACATGACAATAGTGAAATGCATTACATTCATAATTATCCATTCTCAGCACAATTTTTCGTAACTCTATATATAGAGTAAC